ACAAAGGTCACATGTCCTACCACCTTACTCAGGCACTGTTCTAAAGCTGTTGTTGGCTTCCCTTCTGGATGTGCATGGTGTTCAGATTTTGCTGTGGGGGATTTCAACAAGAATGCATAGGTCATCTTGGCCACCATAGTGAAACGGCAATCCTCAAGCGGCAGGTGAAACAACCACACACACACACACCAAGCATTATGGAAGAATGGGCTGCCATCAGTCATTCTCAAAACATTTGGCCAGGACTGTACAATTGTTGCAATGCATATAATGTTGTGGTAGCCCTGTGTTGTACACAAGGCTGGGATTTACATAGTATTTGAGGTTGAATAAAGACATATGTCCATCAAGTCCAACCTATTGTGTGTGTGTGTGTGTGTGTGTGTGTAGGTCCTTGATTCATCTCGTTCTTAGGAGTACCTGTACCCCTGTATATTACCGTCTCTCAGGAAATCGTCCAAAAGCCTCTTGAACGATTCCACACTATTAGCTGAAATCACTGCTTGTGGCAACGAGTTCCAGACCCTAACCACTCGAACTGAGTTCCAGTTTTAGGTAGTGGCCTCTAGTATTCGTTACGGAATTAATCTTAAATAGTTTGTTGCTATGACTATTGAACATTTTGTACATGAAAATCATGTCCCCCCTTAATCTCCTTACTTCCAGCGTGAACATATTTAAATTTAGTAGCCTTGTCTCATAGCTCTTGTCCTCCATCCCTTTGATGAGTTTGGTTGCCCTCCGCTGGACTCCCTCCAGCTCAAGGACATCCCTACTGTGCACCGGTGCCCAAAACTGCACCGCATACTCCAGATGAGGCTGAACCAGTGATGTGTAAAGTGGCAAAATTATAGACTTGTCCCTGCAAAACATCCCCTTCTTGATGCAGGACAGGATTCTGCTTGCTTTGTTTATAGCAGCCTGGCACTGCAATCTATTATTCAGTCTGTGGTCTACAATGACCCCCAAATCCTTCTCCATTTCTGACTTCCCTAGCGGCATACCCATAATTGTATAGCCCATTTGCTTATTTTTTTATCCCAAAGTGTATAACTTTGCATTTATCGACATTGAACCTCATCTGACACATAGTTGCCCACCCCCCTATTTTATCCAGGTCCTCCTGCAATGTTACACTATCTTGGTCTGTTTCTATTACCCTCCCAATTTTGGTATCGTCAGCAAACACTGAGATATCGCTGTGTACTCCGTCCCCGATGTCGTTAATAAACAGGTTGAAAAGCATCGGTCCCAGCACCGAACCCTGAGGCACACCGCTAATGACACTAGCCCAGTCTGAGGGCGCCATTTATTGATACTCTCTGTACCCGTTCCTTTAGCCAGTTCTCTATCCATGTACACACCCTTCCATCTATGCCCATAGACCGCAGCTTGTATAGTAAGCGTTTATGAGGTACCGTATCAAAAGCCTTAGCGAAATCCAGATATACAACATCCACAGACCTCCCTCCATCCAGATCTCTACTTACCCCCTCGTAAAAAGTCAGTAG